ACATTCGCTCAATGCATGAGCAAAACAAACGCCAGGAAAATCGCCTGGTGCTTAGGCATCATGCGAAATAGAACACTTGCCCAGTACTTAAGCAAATCCATGCAGCAGCAGCCTCGGCCAGTACTTATACAATACCCGCATGCTCAACAAACTGTCGCCCTGTACTCAAGCAACAGGTTGGCAGTGCCGCATTCTCCTGCTACTTAAGCAGCACCTTGTGACCCCACATCAAAATTTCCTAGTGCTGAAGCGGCTCACCTGCAACAGCGCATCGCATCTAACCAGCACGAGTGGAGGATGATACACAAAACAAGAACCGTGATCGCACCTTGTCGGCCAGATCCACAGACGCTCCACGATCCAGGAGCACCTCCGCCACTGCGGTATAGCCACTATAGGCTGCCCAAATAAGGGGTGTGTGTCCAATCTGAATGCGAGAAGAAGCCGTTCTTCAGGAAAGCATGTTCCACGCAAAACGCGTGCAGCATGCAGGCACAGCCGTGTTTCCCTTCTGGGCAGCTCACAGAACAAGGGCACTTGGGTTCTTGATTCAAAGTTTCAAAAGATGCTCTAAAACAGAGAGCAGGACATGGAATACGAATGCGAATGTGATCACGACTCGTTCAGCCAGCGCGGAGATGCGCTTTTTTGGGGCCGATTATTTCGGAATTTATAAGCCGTCGAGGTGACCGCAATTTGCCCACCTGTCCAGAAACACTTGCAGTACCACAAGCGCCCAGGTTTTAGGCAACACATGCAGCAACACAATCACCCAGTATGTAATAAGCACAGGAGATTACACATTCGCTCAATGCATGAGCAAAACAAACGCCAGGAAAATCGCCTGGTGCTTAGGCATCATGCGAAATAGAACACTTGCCCAGTACTTAAGCAAATCCATGCAGCAGCAGCCTCGGCCAGTACTTATACAATACCCGCATGCTCAACAAACTGTCGCCCTGTACTCAAGCAACAGGTTGGCAGTGCCGCATTCTCCTGCTACTTAAGCAGCACCTTGTGACCCCACATCAAAATTTCCTAGTGCTGAAGCGGCTCACCTGCAACAGCGCATCGCATCTAACCAGCACGAGTGGAGGATAATGAGCAAAATAAGAATGGTGATCGCACCTCGTTGGCCAGATCCACAGACCCTCCACGATCCAGGAGCACTTCCGCCACGGCTGCGTGACCATGAATGGCTGCCTCCATAAGGGGTGTCCATCCATTCTGAATGCCAGATGAAGCCTTCCGTCAGGAGAGCGAATTCCACGCAAAACACGTGCAGCATACAGGCACAGCCGTGCTTCCCTTGTGGGCAGCTCACAGGACAAGGGCACTTGGCTTCCTGATTCAAAGTTTCAAAAGATACTCTAAAACAGAGAGCAGGACATGGAATACGAATGTGAACGTGATCACGACTCGTTCAGCCAGTTTTCTTTGGGCCAATTTTTTCGGAAGTTTTAAGTTGTCGTGGCGACTGCGATTAGCCCACCAGTCCAGAAAACTTGTAGTGCCACAATCACACACTACTTAAGCAACATGTGCAGTAGCACAATCATCCTGTATTTAAGAAGCATGGGAAATAGCACACTTTGCAGTACACATTATGCACACATATCATCCAGTACCTAACGTAAAACAAGCACAATCAAAATCGCCCAGTACTTCAGGAACATGCAAAGCAGCAGCGACTTGCTTAGTGCTTATCAACATACAGACTAGTAATTGTAGTACCTCAGCAACGCAATTGCAATAGCACAATCATTCAGCACTCAGGAAACAAATCCACTGGCACACTAACTGGCACAGGTAAGTACAGTAAAGTTGAAAACCTTCACCGTATTTGCCCCCAAGTCATTTGCCCCATATTTCGTACCTTTTGCTGGCAATCAACGTTTGTCTCTTCCAGGTGGAACAAGGCCATCTCCTTCAAGCCTTTCTTAGCTGCCCAGTGGAGAGGCATGCTCCCTCTCTAAGCAGCACACAACAGAGTCAATGTGGGCACAATGGTAAGAGCAAACTGCAAGGCATGTTCCTGTATTAGACGTCACAATCTAGAGTGATCACATCATTGCAACTTGTTAAATCAAAACAAATGTCGCACAGGGATGGACTGCCAGATATTGCATTACTTCTTGGCTGGCCCAGTGCACCTTTCCACAGTCCCTAAGTTTGCTTGAATATCATGAGTGACTCACCACAATTGATATGGTGGTCACTGCACATCTATTCAGTGCTTGATTTGCTTCTTGTTTTGGGATGTGGCCCAAATTAGCTGCATATAATTTGCATATAAGTGCAGAAGTAGTATCTGGCAATCTGTTTTCAACAATATATGTACCTGAATGCGGGGGCATTTGTGAATTGCAACCAACGTGCAATATGAGGGCAAGCAAATACTTCAAAAATGGACAAGAACATTAACACAAACCAATGAAAAATGATGCCCACTGACACGAGGACAATGCTAAAACACAGCCACTTAGACAACTAGTGATGCCGTGCACCTGGTGATGATGATGAGCAATGGTGCCAGCAATTGGATTATTTGTCAACCCTAACTCACCATCCTGTTTGAAATTTAAAAACTTTTCAGGACAAATTTGCAAAAGCAAGTACTGAGACATACACTGTTGTTCCCAAATCAAGGTCATCTATGAAATCAGTCAAGCAGACCGGCACTGCAGCTAACCTCTTCGGCATTAGCCTTGTACTCAGGAGTTGCAGAGTGCTCCAAGGTGATCCCTTTCTCTTGCAATTGCTGTTTAACGACCGGTGGAACCAAACCTGTAAGACCTAGCACCTCAAGTTCGCACAAGCATTCCACAAATGGTGAGAACTTCATCGCAGCATTGTCCTGGAGTCGGAGCATCCTCAATCTTGGGCACCCATCTGCAATTGTGCTAGGAATGCAGGACAAGTTTGAGCAGCCCTGGATGTCCAACTCTGTCAACTCGTGGAGGTCCCCCACAGAGGCAGGGATTTCTGATAGGCTGCAGCAGCCATGCAAAATCAACACCTCCAGTCGTGCCAATTGACCAACTGTAGATGGCAGGGATTCCAACTGCCAGCACCCACCCAAGTTCAGAGCTTTCAGGTATGTCAAGCATCCAAATGATGGGTGCAATTGCTTCAAACCCAAGCACCTGCTCAAGTCCAGCATTCTCAGTTTTGGTAAATAGCTACCTGTAGCAGGCAAGAAATGCGCAAACCCACAGCATGGTGCAAGCAATTTGGTCAGCCTTGGGAGTCGCCACAGAGACTCAGGAATGCTGTAGAGGCTTCTGCACCCTCGCATTGACAACACGCTCAGTTGCTCCATTTGTCCCACTTCACTTGGGAAGGATTCCAGCATGTCACAATAGTCAAGTCTCAGCAGTCTTGCAGATTTCAGAACTGAAACCTGTGGAGGTAGCTCCCGGATGTCAGAGGAAGTCAAGTCCAGAGCCACTAATTGAGCAACAAGTAGCGAAACTGGCATCTCAGACACACCAGCCTTCCTCATTACCACAACCTGCAGGTTGGGCGTCTCCAGATTTTGTAGACACACCTGTTGGTCATCCGTGATGCTCTGAGTGGTGGAAAAATGGGTCAACTTGAGCACCCAATGCTGGCAGGTAGACTCTGGCAGCTGTGAAGACACCACCCTGTCACGTTCTGCAAAAGGCAATTCAGATGCTGCCATTGCATCTTCACCCAGAATGTTGCGCATGTCATACTGAAGCATCCTAAGGGCACTGTCTCGAACCACATCATGCATGCGGTAGCGGACAACATCGCATCTCTGCCAAGAGGGCATTGCAAGGTCATGCTGTTGAAAGTCAGGGACACCTGATCGATGTTCTCCAACACGAATAATTAAGGACCTCTCCTCCAGCTCCTGCACAGTACTTTGTGCTGCCTTTTCATCACAAATACCAGTGCTGCATATCAAATCAGCCATGTCAGATGGAATCACTTCATAGTCCTCAGGCAGCATTGCAAAGTTGAGCAATACGGCACGACTCAGGTCCCCAAGGCTCCTAAAACTCCGAAGAAAGACCCTGTCAAACACATCTCTGGCAACCACTCCATCTTGCTTCATGCCATTGGCAGCACTTCGCCACTTTTCTCTTTCCTCAGGAGTGGGGCGTGATGTCTGTCTTTCCTTGTTGTATGACTTGGCCTCCCGTCCCATCACTGCCAGTGCCAATGGCAGACCTTTGCATTCCTTGACGATGTCTTCCACAAAAGGTCGTTGCCAATTCAAAGGCTGCCCACCAGCAAAAGCGTGGTGGCAAAACAGCTGCATCGACTCTCTGTCGTTCAGGCCAACCATATGATGGCACTTACTCATGGCTCCCACACATTTTGCCACTTCTTTATGACGAGATGTGATGAGGACCCGGCTGTTCTCATGTGATGCAACCATGAGGTGCTTGGCATGATGCTGGTACCACACATCATCAAGCACTAGAAGGAATTCCTCATTTTTCAAAGCTGCCTGCAGCTGCAAGAACCCATCTTCACTGCTTGTGAGTTCCACTTGGTGAGCACCTCCCAGCAGGTCTTGCACAATCCTTTTCTGACACTGGGGGATGTTGGGCTCTTGTGATATTACCACAAATGCACGCTTGGGATATCTGGCCTGAACCTGGGGGTCGTTGACAACTTTTTGTGCCAACGTGGTCTTGCCTATGCCGCCTAGTCCTATGAGCACCACATATTGGCATCCATCTTTGAACAACAGGCTGCGAACAACTGATAGTTGGGGGTCCAAACCTATAGCATCCAGTGCTATTGGGATGCAAGCAGGTGGCACAGCCATCCTTCGATCGATGCTGTCAAGGCGGCTTTGCAACTTTTGTTGGCTTGACATCACAATCTCCAACTTTTCGGTACCTGCGTGCAAATGAAATACATATGTTGCTTCAACACATTTTATTGCACAGAGCTTGGAGATCCAATCACACTTGCAGTTGTGAGAACAGTCACCCAAGTGAACTGGTATTCGGTCTCACCTTCAACTGCGATGTCTTTGATGTCGCCAGCCATCCTTTGATCCATGCTGTCCTGACGACTCTTGACCTTTTCCACATCTGGTATCACATTCTCCATGTTTCTGGCACCTGTGTGCAAATCAAATACAAATTTTGATTTACCAGAAATTCAATGTTATTGCACAGCACTTGAAGATCCAATCGCACATGCAACTGTAAGAAAAATCAGCAAACTGGCGTTCAGCCCCACCTCCCATTGCAATATTCTTGATACCCTCAGCCACCTCATCAGTATGGTCGATTTGAATCCTGTCCAGTTCATCCTTGCACTGCCTAACTGTCTCCAGCACAGCGTCGGGGGCCAGCGGCCCAGCCTCTCCATCAGATGCCATTGGCATGTCGATCGACGGTCCATGGATTGGGGTTGAAGGGAGCTTAGGGTGGCAGCCCCTGGGTCCCTGGGCAAGACCATGAAAGGGGTAAAAGGGGCATGACAGTCCAAACAATGGGGCACAGGGCAACCATGAACACAAGAAGATTGGCTATCGCTATTGGAGATTGGCTGTTCACCAGCAAACAGCAAGGAATTGACAACACTGATATTCTCACCATGCAGCAGCCCGATTTTGATCAGAATCGCAGCGGCAGGGCGATGCGCAACTGAGAGAGGCTGTGATCTAGTGGAACGCTGTTGTTCGATATGCACTGCAAGAGCTCTGTCCGACCGGGCGCGAAGTGCCGGTTGTGAGCAAGGTATTGGTAACACACATCATGCCAGCGCAATGACGAAGTGCCAAGATTACCAATGCATACTTACAGACAAAACTCACCTTATTGGGAGGTTGATGAGAAGGATTCCAATTGGCTGTTAGCCCCTGCAAAAATTCCGTGACTTCCCTCATAGCTGGCCGCTCTGCAGGATCGATTGAACAGCACCGTTTCATGAACTGATGCATGGCTTCAGGGCAGTCTTCAAGTTGTACAATGCATGGCTCTTCATTGGACAATTTCCTCTTCATCACTGTGGCACGTCTTCCTCCGGCATGCACCAGCTTGTCTGCTCCATATGGATGTGCTCCTGTTATCACCTCATATATGACGACTCCAAAGCCGAAGACGTCAGACGAGGCAGTGGTGGGCTGCCCATCATATGCTTCTGGAGCCATCCACTCCAGCGTCCCTTCTCCCAACCTTGCTGTCTTGCTCCTTCCCTTGACTGCCTTAACTGCAAGCCCGAAGTCTGTGATTTTCACCCTGCAGTTGCATGGGTCTGTCCCAAATACGAGAAAATTTGAACTCTTAACGTCTGCATGGACGATAGAAAGGCTGTGCAGATAACACAACCCTTTTGCAGCCTCCTTCAGGAGGTTGAGCATTCCTTGCCAGCCAACTTTCTTCGCTCCATGGCACATGGCTCCCAAATCTGAATCTGCCTTTTCCATGACAAGCCAGCCAGATGGCGTGGTGCCATGGACCTGGGCAACGTTGGGATGGTTCAGCCTTCCATGCACCATCACTTCCTTGACAAATTTTGCAAACTCCTCGATGGGCAAGTTGCCTTCCACAAGCGGCTTCTTCACAGCCACTCTTGCGAAATTCCATTCAGCCTCATATACAACGCCACACCCACCCTCACCAATCTGCCTCTTCTCCACAATTGAGTTTTGGGAAATGATCGGCAAGGATTTCATCTCCTCATCGTGAGTGCATTTGATGGGCCTCCACTGGAGAAGCAGATCATGCTCAATGCCACTCTCAACGCCCTTGAGAATATAAGAAAGCATCTTGTGCAGGTACTTCCTGTCCTCCTCAACACTATCCTGGGGCACGGTACCTTCAAGCTCTAATGAACTTGCCGCACCCCATGCTTCACTTTGTGCCTTTAGAAATCCGCAGATACTGTTGACGAATCTGCGCACGTCGTCGATCCCGTAGAAAGTTTGGATACTCAAGGGACTCGCATGCTTGCGCAGTATCCTATCTCCCTTAAAGATCGCCTCCTTGTAATCCTGCCAATCCTGTGCAGTTGCTCTGGCTGGCCGCTGCAAGCCTTTCGCCTTTTCCAGCTGGTGGTTTAGGAACGACAGCATCTTGTGATTGTATTGCAGCCCTTGTTGTTGGACGTGCCCCACCTGATGATAAAACAAGAAAATGTGTAAAGCGCCTGTCCCCAGAGAACTGCATAGAGCAGCATGTGCTTCGTCGCACAAAATGTTGCCCCGTCTGAGGAAGACAAGCATTGGCATCCTGCACAGAGCAATGCGCCCCCTAAGCTCATCACATTCTTTGTCTGCACCGCTGGGCATGTCCCCTGTGCCGCAATGTCACATGGCCGCAATACACTACAGAAGGAGCCACCAACGTAATTGACGTCAGTGAACGAAGTTAAACAGGTTTTAGGCCGTTGGGAGGGAAGCTTACAGGAGGTGTTCGACTTGCTTGGACAAGTGCCGTCCCTTTGGGCTAAGGGCGGCAGTGGGTGAGTCACACCTACCCAGAATAGGTCACGCCCACGTGGGACATCCTTTAAGGCATGGTGTAATATCCAGCTGGACACGTGGGGTGCCCACCGGTTGGTGAGTAACTTGTATTGAAAGGTTACTTCACCAGTTGTACCGGTTGGGGCATGGACTTAGAGGTGTGGCGAAAGGATGGTCTATTCTTTCTTTCGCTCCCGCCCACCTCAGCCCTATGACATTGTGGCTTGACGTTATGTAAGAGAGACGTTTGGCAAACTGGAGAGTACGTCACCCCAGTGACGTGTGAGCACCCGAGTGGTCACTCAGGGGATGTTTTGATTGTGTGGGTAAGTGAGTCTGTGCTCATGTCATACATGGTCGACATACGGCACCACGCGGCCTCATTTGCGCAGTACCAATCCGTAGTGAGTGCGAACTCCGACAGACCTAATTAGGTAGGTCCGGCAGCTACCACCATGGCGCCCTTGTCGCGTCGAGCCGCGGGAAAGAGGGCAGTGGTGAGCAACACACGGTCCCAAGGCGCCAGGAATCGCAACTGCCCTTCTCTCCGCGCAGCGTCCAGCGGGGGAGGGCCGTGCGCCATCGGCTCCGGCAAACGGGCCCCTTTCTTCGCAGGTCCCCCGCTGCATCCCGTCACGGCAACTCACCGCTTCCTCCTGGCTCCCGTCAATCCCGATCTCGCTCCCCACCGCCAACGGCCGGGCGGAGCTACCCGTGGAGCGCCGCTTGGCCGCATGCCCGCTGGAGCCCTGCAAGCATCGGGGGAGGAAAACAGGGCGCGTCATGGCGACGTCCTGGACGGCGCCTCGGCCTCCACATTCTTACCGGGGCACGGCACCACAACCCCCCCCCCCCCCCCTCTTTGGCAAAGCCAGCAAGAAGCCGCGAGCCGTTTGCCGTTTGCTGCCCAGGGATCGAACTCCTGCCCCCGGCCCCCTTCCCCCGCAACCACCTCAGCGACCTGATCGCCTTGGTCGATCTCGCGATTGGCCAATCCGTCCCGATCGGAGGTTCGTCGTCGCGAGCCGCTGCTGGGCCGCGTGTGCTCGTCGCGCAGAGCGGCTCACCTCGGCCGGTTGACTTCCGTCTTCGCACCGGTCCAAGACAGTGGGAGGGGCGCGTGTGGCCGGCGGCAAGGCGGGGGGTCCTCGCTCCTCCGCCATGGGCGCCCGCAGCACGGCCGCCCTTGGTTGAAGACGCAGAGAAACACGTTCACACGACGGCTGGGAGGATTCAAGTGAGGCGCCGAGAATGTGGTCCAACTTCACTTCGGCTTCTCACGAAAGCCTCCCATTCGTCCGGGAGGACAGTCATGAATGGCCCCAGCTGGGGCTGCAGTCATGACAGCGCTGCCAGTCCATTCTACAAGAAACTTGGTTGAGCGCCCCGGATTTGGGAAAATTTCGCGACCAATGGTTGACTCTAGAGCCAGATCTGGCGCGGTTCGTCAATTATGAGCTAACCCACTACTCACTCAATTGCACCATCTTCAAAGCTTAGAAGTTGCATTCTAGTTGATATACACTGATGTCCACAGACCCTTTACATCACGACCAACAAGGATTCGAAATTTTCGAAGTCCGAGCTCAATGTATAGCAAGAGCTTCCCCTTTTAATCCGCGTCGCTTCCCAGCGGAGAATAATCGTTTCAGCTGCTTTGGAGCATGTTTTTGGCATTGTTGTTATTATGCCACTGGCAATGTTACGTAATCGCATTCGAGCGCAGCTGATTCAGCCCGCTTTTCTTTCTGTTTGCAGGTCTTAGCAGCGATGGTGCTTTTGTGCGGCATGGTCGGACGGTAGAATCATCCCAAGGAGCTCAAACGGAAGATAATCCCTAGTGGCGTGCCATCCGAAGGCTGCTGGTGGAATGGATGTCCCTATCCACCCACTTTTTGTCCGTGGCCGTCGTCCTGAGCGTCATTGCTGCTCATGGCATCGGTGCAAACTTTGTCGTCACAGGTACGATTTTGGCGATGGTCGCCGGCGGCTTGGAGCTCACTGGCGGATCTCTGTTTCTTGTCAGGTGTTCTTCGAATGCACGCAGGACATACTTTCGATACGTCTTCTATACTTCTTCGATATGTCCAGTTTGCAGTGAGAATCCCAGTGGCGAAGCGCCCTATGGGGCACGAGAAAGGCTTCATGCACAGTTCCGGTTCTTCAATTCCACAGCTCTGATTATCAGTGCATTTTCCCCTCGCAGACGGATTGGCAATGATGCATAGTGCTTCTGTCCACCGCGAGGAGCACAGAATGGAAAATTGTCGATAGCAATGTCAACGAGGGTAAAAGCATTGTTGATTCAGTGATGGGATGCAGATCACGTTGGCATTTAGGAGTGTTTGGGGCGCCAATTAACATAGAAAGATTGGAAAATACACATTGCTAGTGCAACCATGCTCGCTCGAGCGGTGCAGCACTTTTGCTGCAATTCATGTGCCAAATTGCAGGAGAATTGCAAACCTGGCATGCCTCACGTACTATTCCCAAGACCACCCACCTATCACCAGTTTCTTTCGAGCGAGAGCGAGTGCCAAAGCTGCGCTCCAAGGCGCCCGCTCTAAGGACGTTAGCACACTTTTCTCAAGTGAAAGGCAATCGACTCGTCGGGTCGATCGCCACAAACAGAATTTTCAAACTTGCCCCCCCCACCCCCACCCCACCCCACCCCACCCCCACCCCACCCCACCCCCACCCCACCCCCACCCCCACGCCACTCGCCTCCAATCGGCGGCCAAGGAAGCACCTCAAAGCGCTGCAGCACCACCGCCAAGCCTTTTCTCCTCTTTGAAGTGAAAGATCATGGCGATCGACCCATTGGGTCAATCGCCTCGGCCGCAATTTTCAAATTTGAACTTGAACCAACCCGCCCCACTCCTCTGAAACCGCCACTCGTTCTAATCTATGGCCAAGAGATGCCAAGAGGCACCTCAAAGTGGCCGCCCAGCTTGCTCGAAGTGAACATTGCATCGGGCGACCAGTTGCGTCAATCGCCTTGAACAGTTTTTTTTCGCATCAATTGCCCCCCAACCCCTACATCCCTTACCCATCGCCCTCCCAGACATGACTCGAGCCATGGCCGTGGGCGATGGGCATATGCACACACCTTTGCTGCTGCGTGTACCAAATTGGAAGTTTTCTAAGCCATTGCTAATCACCATAATTGCATCGACCTTACTGAAAAAAATGCCAGACCCCCAATTGTCAATCCCTCAAGATAGCGCAACAGCCCCGTTTAGGATAGCATTCACGTGTACACTGCACAGTGATGACTAAATTGCTAATTGTTTGTAATTTGGAAAAAAGTTGGCAGCTTAAAACCCACCCAGCCCCCACCCACCTATCCACCCATCACCATCACTTTCTTCCGAGCGAGTGCCAAAGGTGCCCTCCCAGGCGCACACCCAAAGGATGCCTAGACATTTTGTTAACGTGAAAGGTCGCAGCGATCGGGCCGTTGCGTCATTCGCCACAAGTTTGCCCTTACCCTGCCCCTTATCAAACCCCAACCCCACTCGCTTCCAATCAGCTGGCAAGGAGGCACTCCACAGTGCTGCAGTGAGGGCGCCAAGCGTCTTGGAAGTGCGAGGTCACGGCGATCGGCCCGTTGGGCCAGTCGCTGCCGACCCAATTCTTCAAATTTGGCCCCCCCAAAACCCCCTCCCCCTTGCCCCAAAGCCATTCGGCTTTAGTCCCCGGCCAGGGAGACGCCACGAGGCGCTCCAAGGGGGCTGCCCAGCCTGCTTGAATTGAAAGATCGCGGCGATCGACTGGTTGGGCTGATCGCCAAGAACAAAATTTTTAAATTTGAGCATGGCCCAGGCCCTTCCATCCCACCCCACTTCCCCCCCCCCAACGCGACTCAAGTCAAGGTTTTGTGGTCGAAGGCATGCACACCGCCTGTTCCGGAGCCCCCCTGGGAAACGTTATTTAGTCGCTGCCTTCCAACGTCAGCATGCAGGCACCGGACTGGGGCCTCCCCGCACCGGGCCGCCCCCCCCCTGCCCCTAGCTAGGGGCGAGCCATGTCCCCGTGCGCCCCCCCTGCAAAAACGGCTGAGTCGTGGGAAGTGGCACTGACGCCTCCCCTCCAGTTCCGCAGCTCCGCAACTCCGACACCCATGGCCGTGGTCGCGGCTGGCCTGGCGGGCGCCATTGGCGTTGCAAGTCGCTGCCTGTGGGGTTTAGCCTGCAGGCACACCATTCACGATTTCAAGAGTTTGAGGATTCCGCGATGTTGCAGACGAAGGCACCGGCGTGCGTCCGTTTCCGCGAGCTAGTTGGTTCGCAATGGATGGGGGGTGTGCCCACAAAAGGACCGGGGCGGCGGGCCTCCCCGGGAGGCCGGAGGAGGTGCAAGATCCGCGGCGGATCTCGCTGTTTGTGTGGCAAAGCTTGCTTCCCGCTTGGGCGCTTTATGGGTGCCGAATGTTGCCAGCCGCGATAACCCGATTGGCACCCACAGGTGGCACCAATCGGTGGCTAGCAGGGGCGAGAATGGTGGGAGTGGGTGGCCACGTTCGGCCTCCCACTCCTGCCGTTTTGTTGCGTTTGCATGTGGCCATTCTTTGGGCACCGCGGGGTCCGCAGTCCGCCCTTGGCGTTTGCCCCCTGTGGGCGCCGAATGGTGCCACTCGCGGGTGCCAATCT